AGTGAGCAAGCATGCCACAACCACTCCGAGTCTGGGTACTCGGTTTCTTCCCTGGGTCCTTGGTCAGGATGATTTCCTAGGACCTTCATTAGATGCTCACTCATGGCTGGTGGCGCCTCAATCCCAGAGGTCCTGGGTGGAGCGGGGAAGGCTCTGAAACTCCACTTTGTAGTTCTGATGGGTGGGACTCTGGAAAGATGTCCCCATCCCACGGCATCCCCTCAATACAATCCTTACACGCCCCCAAAGTACCACCAGCTACACGCTGAACAAAACCACACCCCCATAAACCACTTGAGGACAGTTGCAGTTGCTGGAAATGTGCGGTGAGACCGGGTATGGAGGACAAACTCCCATCGCCAGTACGGTTCCCAGACTCCTCCCTGCTCAGATACTGCCAGTCACAGAATTCTGCAGACCGACATTTAATTTCCTTTAACCCTCAGATTCCAGCTCCTTGCTCCTTTGGAAATTGGACCCTCCAAAAGGGCCATTGCTGTCAGTCGCTCTCTCCTTGGTTCTTCCTCACTGTGACTAAAGTAGTCATTGAGATGTCCCTGGAATTTTCACAAAGGGTCTTTTCTGGTCTGTTTTCCACAGGAAAGCAAGAGGAAGCGGTTCCTCCTTCCAGTTGCAGGCTTTGTTTGTTTGTTTGTTTTGTGTTCTGAGACAGGGCCTCTTTTGTTGTTTGTTTTGTGTTCTGAGACAGGGCCTCTTTTGTGTAGTCTGACTGTCCTGAACTAGCTCTACAGACCAGGCTCGCCTCAAACTCAGAGATCTGCCTGCCTCTGCCTCCCAAGTGCTGGGATTAAAGGCGTGCGCCACCATTGCCCAGCCTTTTTATTATATTTGGACATTGAGTGATGTTCAATCTTCAATTCTTTCAATAAAGCACTATGGGAACTAGAGAATTGGCTCAAGGGTGAGGAGCACTGACTACTCTTGCAGAGGACCCAGCTCTAATCCCAGGACCCACAACCATCTGTAACTCTAGTTCCAGGGGATCCAATGACCTCTTCCGGCCTCTGTAGGCAACAGGTCCACATTTGATGCACTGACACACATGCAAACTAAACACCTGCATGTATAAAAACCAAGTAAATAAGTAATTAAAAAATAACACTGTAGCATGGCAATGGTGGTGCACATCTTTAATCCCAGAATTTGGGAGGTAGAGGCAGATGAATCTTTGTGAGTTGGAGCAAAAAGAACAAAAAAATAACATTGTGAAGGAAGGATATGTTTTAGTATGAATCTTTCCCCGTGTTTACTTATTTCTAGAAATGGGTTTATTAGGGCAACAGAGGACAAACTGTCTTGGAAATGCCCTGAGGGGACCCACAGATGTGAGTCCTGTTCCGCCTCAACTAAAGGGCAGAGAGCTTATTTTTGCTCTTTCAAAGTTGTTGACAACAGGTGTGTCTACAAACAGTGACCTAGGGTGTAGTTACTTGGTTATTTGGGACGGTAAGACGGCCCAATAGAGGTGGATTCGCTCAACCTTGACCAAAGGTCAGAGAATTCAAGCCTATCCCTGCCCCTTTATTTTATTTTATTTTACTTTTGGTTTCCACACCGGGAGTCGAACCCGGGCCGCCTGGGTGAAAACCAGGAATCCTAATCGCTAGACGATGTGGGACTGCCCCTTCATTTTAAAACAGGAGGTTTGACCCAGCAAGTGGCTGCCTACAGGATACAGGTCTAGGGTGTATTTGCCTAAACATCGTATCTAAACATGTATCTGCCCAAAACATCAGAATGCTTAACTCAGGAAATAATGGCTTGATGTCTTTTCTGGTTGTCTTTTGCCTTCTTCCTCCCCTCCTTCTTTTTGTATTGGGGTGTGGAAAACAAACACAGATTCAGTATTTACTGAGCTGCCCTCCTGATACTATCCTCTGCCTCTGTATTTCTACTGTATCTCTATCTGTTATGTCTAACGTTTCTCCTCCACACGCCCCTACCCTGGAACATATGGATTCGTCGAGGCTAGACCCCGACAATGCCCCCATCCCCAGAGAACAAACAGGCTGGGAAAGTGGGCTGTGCAAACATGAGGACCTAATCCAGGGGGCACAATACCCTCTTCTGTCCTCCAGGGACACTAGGTACACACGTAGTATACAAACACACATGCAGGCAAAACACCAACAAACACAGTAGGATCCTGATCTGACATCTTTCCACATCAATACAGATAAGCTGTGGCTGAGCAGTAGTGTATTGATGAGAGGCACATGTGCACAAAAGCTTCGCTATTTACAATTGGGGCAGTTGGGGCTGTGGTTCTGATTTAACTGATTGATTGAACATTTGCATTCCTGAAATCCTGCCCAACACCACATATGAGACATACCTGTGATGCCAGCATTTGAGAAATACAGGTCAGGAGTTCAAGGGCAACCTGGGCTACCTGAGATCCCATCTCAAACGTGCATATGTGTGTGTGCATAGGATTGGGGTGGCATAAAGATGCGAGGAACAAAATGATTCCTAATCGTGGGTGGGCTTGTCACCCCTTCTCTCGCCCCTGCTGGCACCTGCCCATCATCCCCACAAGGTAATCCATCACTCACAAGGTGATACCTACATTCTGTATCTTGGAATTGCAGCCTTTATCTAGCGGTTCTAAACCCATAGGTCATGGACCCTTTGGAGGCTGGACAACCCCTTCACAGGGTCGAAATAGCACTGAAAACAGCTTTATAGTTGGGAGTCACCACAACATAAGGAACTATATTATAGGGTCACAGCATTAGGAAGGTTGAGAACCACTCTTTCTCAGTTCTGACCTGTGCCTGCTGGTTTGTCCCTGGGATGACCTACGACAGCCACACTTTCAGTTTTGGATGAGTTTGTGATGTATATAGCAAGTCAAAGGGGACAACCTCAGCAAGCTGGGGCTGACAAACACCCAGTAGAAACTGAGAAAGCCTCTTGAGGAAGCCAGCTGGAGTCCCCAATAGTGTCACAGGCGAGCAGAGTGTCCCCTCTGGTGAGGCTGCCAAGTCAAAGAACAACAGCTGATGAAGAGATGACATCATCAAATCAGACACAACATCTAGCAGAAACCAACTGGGGAAGTTGAGGCAAGCAGCTGAGTTCCCCATTGAGTTTTCTCTCCATAGACAAAATTCCAGCTTGCTAGTTTTATGTCAACTTGACATAGGCTAGAGTCATCAGAGGAGGGGACCTCAACTAAGAAAATGTCCCCAGAGCCGGGCGGTGGTGGTGCACGCCTTTAATCCCAGCACTCGGGAGGCAGAGGCAGGCGGATCTCTGTGAGTTCGCGGCCAGCCTGGTCTACAAGAGCTAATTCCAGGACAGCTAGGGCTGTTACACAGAGAAACCCTGTCTCGAAGAACCAAAAAAAAAAAAAAAAAAAAAAAAAAAAAAAATCAGGCTGTAGGTAAGCCTGCGGGGAATTTTTTAAATTACTGATTGATGGGTTAGTGATTGATGGGGAGGGCCCAACCCATTTTGGGCTGGGGCTATCCGTGGGTTCTGTAAGAAAGCAGACTGAGCAAGCCACGGGGATCAAGCCAGGAAGCAGCACCCCTCCCTGGCTTCTGCATCAGCTCCTGCTCCAGGCTCCTGCCCTGACTTCCTCCAGGGATGGACACCGATGTGGAGGTGTAAGCCAAATAAACCCTCTCCTCACCAGGTTGCTTTGGTCATGGTGTTTCATCGCAGCAATATAACCCTAAGGCTCCACTTGTCTTCCCCTTGGGCACTTCTTTCTACAGTCTGGGGTGAGCAGTAGCAGCCTCTGTGGGAATGGCTTCCTTCTAGCTGATTTCCGGGGCACAGTGCCGTTTCTCTTGGCCTATTTTTCTGTTCTCTCCCCTAACCCTCAAGCCAGGCCCCTGAGGACGGAGGGGATGGTACGGTTGCCACTGGATCCCTTTGTCCTCTCCTAATGTGGCCACATTGAATGAATCTCCTTTCCCCACATTTTTACTATTATTATTATTAATTATTTATTTATTTTTCTCTGTGTCGCCCTGGCTGTCCTGGAACTCACTCTGTAGAACGGCCTGCTCCTGCCTCCGGGAATGCTGGGATTAAAGGTGAGCTCTACCACCACCTGGCTAATTTGTCTTTTTAATAGGTTTATTGAAGGTGACTGTCTAGGGCTGAGAGGGCAGAGGCTCTGACCCTGGTAAATTCAGTGACAGGATCACCAACAGACAGGGACAAAGGAGGAGCTGGGACCGTTCCTTCTGGCTCTACACTCTGGGACTGCGGAAAGGGGAACAGAAGTGGGGAAAGGGTGAGTCTCTGGTGCTAATCCCTGCTTCCTGTCGGGATTGTCCTGACTGCTGCTGGGGCCTGTCTTCGGATGTCACAGCTGCGGAAATAGATCTCCCCTCTTCACCTGTTCTTAAGCAGCGGCCTCTTCTCTAGCTTCCTGTCAGAGGAATGTCGTGGTGCTGGGGCCTCAGAGGACTGAATGCCTGCCCACCTTCCCACCTCTGAGGGCACAGGGTTTGAGGAATTGAGCAAATCTACAGGGGAGACATAAAGAGCCCCTGGCATCCTGGGCCATTTGCCTCGTGTCTGCCTGGTCCCCCCTCCAGAAACCTCTGGGTCCTTAGGACTCCCCGCTCCTAAGAGTGATTGACAGAATGGCAGTGAGTGGCTCCTCTGCCCTCCTAACCCGCCTCACACACCCATGCCCGGTCCTATAAAATCTTCTATTCCCGTGGGACCAGGGAACCCGGTCACCCTAGCTTATCACTCAACAAACGTGGGTTCTCCCAGGCTTAGCATCAGCGTCAGGAGGAGCAGAACCTAAGTCTGGGGAGCCCCAGCCAGGGGCCTGAAGGTGGATCTCCAGAAGAGAGGGACCCCACTCTGCGGAAGAAGAGGAGGGCCAGGGCGGAGGCTTGGGCTGTTTCCCAGGCACCGGGCATCCTGGGCTGGGCGGGTTAGTGTACTCTTGGGAGGAGCCTTCCCAGGCGTCCCCAGAGCTACCTAGGTAACTGACCTGCTAAGCCATGTCCTCCCCCAGGAGCGGGAGCTGGAGTGGCGCCCTATCACAGAGTGCAGCCCCTACGGTGAGACCTGAGCCCAGGAGCACAGACTGTTTGGAATGGGGGCCGGGGTGGGGACTGCGGAGCTGGGATGGGGGTAAACTCTAGGGGAGATCCCAAACCAAGAGGAAGAGACTGGACTGGGAGGAAGAAGGCCATGGGGTGCAAAGACACTGAGCAGGGAGTGTGGGGGGGGGGCTCCCGACATGCCTTACCCCTCTTCTGTCTTGTTGGGCTGAATCTCCACCCATGTCCCCAGCCCTGGGTGACCATCTTGCCGCCGTTTCTTTGGACTGTCCCATCTCCTCTGCCTCAACCCAGCCGTGTCAAGGAAGGTAACTTCCCTGGGTCACTCCCTCGACACCCCGCTGCCACACATCCCTGGGGTCTGCTTCCTGTTCCGTCCTGTATAAATGCTGTACAGCGAGGGGGATGGGTCCGTGTGGCGGCGGGCCGGGTGGGCCTGCTGAAACCTGTTCCGCAGACCTGCTGGAGCTCATGATGCTGCAGAATGCCCAGCTGCACCAGCTGCTGTTGAGTCAAATGGTGGCAGGAGCCCTGAACCCGGGGCCAGAGGGACCCAGCCCACAGGTGTGTGAAGGTGGGGCCCAGGGTAGGCTCTATGTGGGGGACCCCCACCTGGAGTAAAAAGACCGAGCATAGAGTAGCAGCAGAAAGCTAGCCCACACCCTCCCTGCCCGGCTCAGTCCCTTTGGCATCTACGGTGTGCCAAGGCCTGGTGTCAGCTTCTAGTAGGAAGGGAGTTTCCAAATCTCCACTACCACCCAGACGTTGTGTCCAAGGTTTTCCTTCCAGGTATTCCTCTGTGCACCTCAAGTCCCAGGAGCCTGGTGCAGAACTCTTTATTAAGGGCTCAACCGCTATTTGGCTAACAAAAGAATGAATAAGGGACTGGCTAGGTAGGCTGTGACAAGCAGATGCAGAGATGCGGTAATACTGCACACCTGGAGAGGGAGGGAGGAAGAAGACAGACTCCTTGGAGGACTGCAGGAGGCCTTAGGGCAGGCTCTTGAGGACCAGGTAGGAAGTGAACCCGGGATGGAGGGAGTAAAGGGTGTGGGGTCTGAGAAAGGAAGACCCAACGGAAAGGGGACTCTGGGAGACCTGGAGGGGTTCAAGGAGGGGCTAGTTGGGGAGTTTAGGGAGGTGGAGATCCTGAATTAGGGCTGCTAACTCACACCCCTAGGCCCTCTGAGGCCCTGAGGTGAGCATCCCCCCTTCCTTGAGGGATGCACAAAGATGCAGGAACAAAGGCAGATTGCTCTCTTAGATGAGTTAGGCTCTTCGACGTGGTTCACCTCCTAGAGACTCAGCTCTCCCCTCTGCAGAGGAATGGGGTGAGCATCTCCAAAGCGCCTTGGCTGCACTCAAGCACAGCTCACTAAACAGTACAGCCTTTTCACCGGTGACGGTGACGATGTGCAGAAAATAATGTAGGAGGTGGAGGAGGCGGGGCAGTGGGGGTAGGCAGGGCTGAGCCTGGCTCATCGCCACCCCCCTCCACTTTGCACCCTCCCAGGTCTATACAGACAGCCAACAAGAACAGGTGGAGGAAGAGATGGAGGCGCAGGAGCAAGAAGAGCCTGTGGTGGTCCACCACCACTATTTGCCGGGCCCCATGACACTCTGGCCAGTCTCTTTCCTCCCTGTTCCCCCACATCAGCCTCCCTGGCAGGGTGCACCCAGGATTCAGCACCAGCCGCCTGCCTCCAGGCAAGGGGAGGTGTAAGTGAGACTGTGGGGAGGGGTTTGGGCGTGATCAAGTCCTTGATCTAGGCTGAAAGAGCAGACTGGGGTGGGGGGGGGGCGTGGTAAAGCCTCAGAAGCCACCCTGGGCCTCTGACAGGGTCTTTCTTCTCTCTCTCCCATCTTAGGAGAGATGTGCCCCCACCCCCACCCCCGAGTGCCACAGGGACTGTTGGTGCGGATGTACCCCCAGCTTCAGGTAGGGGATGGGTGGATGGGCCGTGGGACCTGACCTGGGGGAGACTGAGATGTCAGAAGGACCATGTGCCCTTGTGGATGGGGGCTCCTGCCAACCGCTGCCTCGTCCCGTTCTATGTTCCTCCTTGGGGGTCCACCAAGGCAGGAAGGAGCAAGCTGAGGGTTCTGTCTCCCTAGAGTACTATGATGCTGAGAGCCTGCCCTGAAGACGGATCATCATCAGGCCTCACCCGCTTCAGCACAGGGCTGCCAGCATGCTGGACTCTGCATCCATGCTGAAGCCCTTCTACCCACCCCGTCCCAGTCAAGCTGTCTACCCTGGGGCAGCAGGCTCTCTGCTCCACTGCTGTCTCGAGCTGCCTGTTCTGGAGAGAAACTCCGTAAAACTCCTCCCTGACCCAGAAGCCACGTAAACCTGATTGATCCTGTTCCCTGTCTGGACCTGATACCAGAGCCCCAGCTGGTCTTTGTCCCTCTCTCCCCTCTGTGGAGTCCCCCTTGGGCCTGAAATAGGGCACGAGAGAAGAGGATGGCTCCTGTCTCCAAATGCCTGAAAGCCCCTGGAAGGCAGCATGGTTTGGGAAGAAGGCTGGCTCAGGAGGCCCCTGCGACAGACTCGGCTTCCTTGGGCCTCCTTTCCCTGGATTCTGTTGGCAGAAAGGAGTGTAGTAGGAGGTCCCCAGGGCCATGTGCATACAGAAATTCCTTCCCCTCACAGGACCTCAGTCGGAAATCAGTTGCTAATGGTGTGGGTAGACGTCTGGGGTCTGGGCTGCAGAGGAAAGAGCAGGGAGATGGAAAGGGCGGAGGAGACAACGGGGTGAGCAGGTCACAGTTAGTACCATCCTTGCCGTAGGTGCTGCTGTTATCCCAGAAGCAGACATGGAGAGCACAGGGTGAAATCCAGGTATTTGTATTGAGGTTAAGAAGAAAGGAAATGTCCCCAGTGTCTTGTGCCACAGCCAGAGTCCTTCAGCCAGTGCTGGACCATACCCTGAAGGCGCCATGTTGAATTCCAGCAGCCACTAGAGGCCAGGGAACATCGGATCACCCAGGACGTTGCCGCAAGGCTCGGGGCAGCCTCATCCAGGCAGCCAGCACCCCGTAGGTGCCCGTCCGCTTCCTGTGCCAGTGCTGGCCGAGGGTAAAGCAGAGTAGGACCGATGTCACAAATAAGACCAGCAGTATTGTCACCACTATGATTATGGTTGTTGGGATGTCGTTTGTACGCTCTGGGGAGGGAAGAGGCAATGCATTTAGAGATTTTCAGGTGCCAGGCACCCCAGGGAGTCCACCCATCACACCTTGGCCACTCATGCATTCCACAGCCAGCCTGGTAGCAGAGAGAAATGGCATAAGGTGTCTGCCCCCCGTGTGGCATAGAAGAGGAAGGTGGTCTGCAGTCCAGGCTCTATCAGGCAGAGCAGCTACCCCTCTTCAGCAGCTCCCGAGACCAGTATATAGAGCCTGGACACCAGGGTGTTGTAGAATATTAGTTAAAGATGTGTTACATTTGTTTATGCTGTGGAACATTTGTTTAATGGTGCAAAGATGTGTTGCATTCTTTTCTGTTACATTTGTTTAAGTCTGTGAAGCTGTGTTACTTTGCCTGCCTAAAACACCTGATTGGTCTAATAAAGAACTGAAAAGGCCAATAGCTAAGCCGGAGAAAGGACAGGCAGGGTTAGCAGAATAGAGAGAATAAGTAGGAGAAGGAGGAGGAGAGGAGGGTGCAGGGGACCAGCCACCCAGTCACACAGCCAGACACAGAATAAGAAGGAAAGGAAAAGCCGGGTGGTGGTAGCACATGCCTTTTATCCCAGCATTCAGGAGGCAGAGGCAGGCAGATCTCTGTGAGCTTGACGCCAGTCTGGTCTACAGAATGAGTTCCAAGAGAAGCTCCAAAGCTACACAGAGAAACCCTGTCTCGAAAAACAAAACAAAACAATAACAACAACAAAAAAGGCAATAAAATATATATAGAAATAGAAAAAGATAAAAGCCCAGGGGCAAAAGGCAGACAAGATAATTTAAGAAAAGCTGGCTAGAAATCAGCCAAGCTAAGACTGGGCATTCAAAGAATGCTCTGTGGGACCTGGGTGGTGGACCCCCAAAGACAAAAGAGAAAAAAACCACCAACAACGCCATGGCCTGGAGGATGTCATGGTCAGGTTTATACCATGTCCCTTGTCAGGCAGAGCTGAGTGAGCTTCAAGCAAGCTCATTTACCACAGGCTTTGGCCACCACGAGTTACAGACCAGCAGAGCTCCGGGGAAGCTGTGGGTCAGGCCAGCAAGCCTTCGCACTGTAGAAAGGGCCATAGCTTGAGAGAACTCACTACCACAGTCAAGGCGACACGCCCAGCCACTTGTTGAGCTCTCTTGGCTTCTGGAAAAGTTAGGGTTCAGCTTGGAGCTTGGAGAGAGAGCAAGTAAATCAGGAAGTAAGAGGGAGCCCTCAGGATTCTACATACACATCAAGCTACCCAGGAGTGGGGCTTGTGGGTTTTCTTTCCCCAAGGTGCCAAGAGGGATGCCATCTCTGCCCCTCTGGGCCCAGCATCTCCTTACCGATGACTTCTAGGATCTGGGACTCTGAGACTTTGCTGATGATGTGCCCACCATGGGGCCGCAGGTCCAGCACAGCCTTGCAGGATAAGTTGAGGCTATCCTTTGTTGGAGCTGTCGTGTTGAATATGGCTATGGCGTTACTTTCAGCTCCCCCAAAGGTCTGGTTCTGCAGGGTCTCTCCTTCACGGAGCAGGCTGAGGGTGAGGCTCTCAAGGGGCTTCACGGCTTCTGCCATACACTCAATGGTGAAGGCTTCTCCCACAAACACCTGCGAGAGCGGCAGCTTCAGTGTGACCTTAGCCGGAGGCTCTGTAGGAGACAAAGGAGGAAGACCACTCAGGATGGAACTGTGGCCCTGCAGGCTCAACCTGGCCATGGCCCATCTCCTGGTATCCCAGGTCCCTAGCTGGACTTGAAAGAGAGGGAGTGGGCTGGGCATTGGCCTACTCATTGGAAGAAGAAAGAGGAGGGAGAAGGGTATGGTGGAGGATGATCTGGGTGATAGTTCTGTGAGCATGATTCGGAAAACAGAGAAGGGGTCTACAGAGAGGAGATCCAGATTGCAGAGCCAGCTAGAATGATATACAAAAACATCTGGGCCTGTCTCCATCCCCTCCAGATACCAAACACAAATGTTTGAATTAAACAGCTGGGTGGTTGTCCTGGGAGCACTGGAAGGGAGCTCCGCTATGTGTGGACTCTATGACAGTCCTCAGAGCTGACCATGAGCCTCCTCCTGAAGCCCGGGCAGGAGGCGTTTGCCTCACTTCTCCAGCTGGTTTCGCGACCAGTGTCATTGCAGATCCACTGAGGAAGGACTACCCTGGTTTCCGCTTAAGCTACTCCACCCATCCTCACCCCACCTAGGACTCAGAACATCTTTCCAGCTTTTGATCCATCAATGTCATTAACCAGTAGCAGGGAAACACCTGGAACTAAGATTGAGCGAATCCCGGCAGGCGTGTACACAATGCTCACACGTTCGCCATGGGTCCTTGGGGGGAATGATGAAATGCTCCACGTTCTCCCATTTTCCTGGTATTCTCTAGTAGCTCCTCCATCTCACGAAGCTTCCCTGATTCCCCCACTGCTTGTGATGCTTATGGAGTGTTCTGGCGACAGAACCGGGGTGGGAGCCGACTTCCAGATCCGTGCAAACCCTGGCTAGACTGACACTCTTGGAGAAAGATTCAAAACCTGCGCTGGCTGCTTCCGAGGTATAGGAGGACTTGTGGAGCCCAACCAAGGGTGTAAGCGGATCCTGAGCCCACAGACCTGACCTGCTTGTGGTTCAGGAGCCCGGAGGAGATGAGGACCACGATGGGAAGCCCAGGAGCAGTCACTGAGCAGATGTGGGAGTGTATAGTCGCCATGGAGTGGAGACCCAGGCAGAGACACTCACTGTATACTCTGACGCTGAGATGCTCTGAATGCTGTTTCTCCTCACAGGTGAAGTGGCACAGGAAGCTCATGTCTTGGGAGATATTTAAGACTAAGAACTGTTTCCACTTCCCTCGAGGGTGCTCCTCCAACACTTCCTTACTCAAGGTGGTCTCCAGACCACCCACTTGCGGATTCTCACAGCTAGTACTGCAGTTGACTTTCAAAGAGCCTGTGGCTTCTACTATCTGCTTCTCGGATGATACGTGGACCTCGAACGCCTTCTCACCAGACCCTGGAAGAGCAAAAGCACCAGTCAGCAGATGTCTCCGATGCCCGCCCTCAGGGATCTCTATTACTTTACAACTTTCCCCATCAGACCTACGGAGGCTGCCACTCAGGGACTTCCTGCGTTCTTTCCTCCAGCCCCTCTGTCCATCGGCACTAGGTCAGTCTTCCTCGAGCCTCTCTCTCTCGCTGCGTTAAGCTCCAGTACAAAGTTCTCTCTGTCATGAAGACACCTCTGAGAATGGAGGTAAGCTCTGAACTCACATAAACACAGAGAACTGCCAGGAATGCCCTTTGGGTAGTGGTGAGCTCCAGGGATAGGCATGGGGCAGGTGATGGAGGGACTCTTATTTTTTCCCCAGAGACAAGGTGTCTCTGTGTAACAGTCCTGGCTGTCCACAACTCACTTTGTAGACCAGGCTGGCCTCGAACTCTCAGAGATTAACCTGCTTCTGTCTCCCTAGTGCTGGGATTAAAGGTGTGTGTCATCACTGTCCAGAGGGACTCCACTTTTAATAACATGGTTAAGAAAAGATAATGATAATG